GTTGTTTCCAGAACACTTTTATTTAATGCCATATATGATAAAATCAGTGGCTGCACTAAATCATTTTTCTCAATTAAAATAATACTTTTCTGTGATACTTTATTGCCTTAGACCACGGGTGTCAAACTCACATCATCACAGCAGTATCACAAGATGTATCAGGACTATTTTCTCCCTTTGCTAAACCAGGCATGGGCATGGCCAGTGCATGACGCATCTGGTCCACGGGCCAGGAGTTTGACAGCCCCGCCTTAGACCAACAAGCCTTTCCTAATTTCTGTGTCTTATGATAATTCATTCTAAATCTAAACTCATTCTAAGTAACACTTAAGCTTGAGTGTTACTGCTGAAGGACTGCCTTTTCATGATCTTCCTCACACTTAGAGTATTAATTCAATTACTCTCCTACTTGAGAAGGCTTAAGTTATGGAAGAACTACATCTAAAGATACATTGTAAGCCTTTGTTATAACACAAAACAAAAAAAATGTTTCAAATAAAATAATGGACAATTATTTCTTTTGTTGGAAATTGGGAAAAATGTTGTTGCTATAAACAAGAGTCAAGAGAGATGATGAGTATGAAAAGTATTCAGGAAACAGTGTGTTAATGGGGAGAGCAAAGACAAGGAGAAAATGGCTGCAGTGATGATCAGCTATGGCTGATGGGGAAACACACCTACAGCTTTCAGTACCCTCCAAATACATCATCAGTAACAGCCATAAAGCCAATTAACTTATCCTCTGGGATGGTATATAGCAAAACATTACAGATTTGGTAAACTTTCAAGTTGTGTTTTGATAGCAGCTAAAAGAGAAAAATACTACATTACTAAGTCTAATTATGAATTCAAACTGTTTTTTTTAACAATAGGCTATCAATAAGGGGAGCAAGAGAAAAGACTGGTGTTACCTGGGTTTGATTATGATTGCAAAGTTGCAAGTCAGGACAAGTGCAGGAGTATATTTTATGGGCCGCTATATAAATGTGATTATCTAATAAATTAATGAATAGGCATGATGATTTTAAAAAGTTGGTAACAAAAAACATAATACAGAGGGGAAAAAATCCTAAACAATGAACTGTGATTGCAGTAATAGAATATACATATATTCTACATACACACACACGTGTGTGTGTGTCCATACACATACACATACACATATATATACATATGCTAATTTGATGGAGACAGAATAGTTTCCATTCATTTATTTTGCTTATCAAATGACATATTCAATTGGGAAGTTGAATTAACCTTGAGGGTTTCTAATTGCTATTATCAGCATGATAGAATCTGAGCCCTTTTGCTTTTTCCACACAAGACAATAGGGCCATTCATGATAATTGTGCCTGTCATATTAATGTAGGGAGATAAAAGCTATCCAATTTTTACAGTTACACAAAATGACAGTATGTAAAAATGACAGTTTGCTTATCATGGTTATCATGAAAATATGCCCTAAATTCTAAATTTTCTCTGTTTTGCTATTTGATATATATACTCTTGTAGCAGAGGCTAATATCTAGCTGAGCAGCCAGTTAGAGAAAGTCAAATGAACAAAGATAATTTACAATCCAATACAACTTTATGGCAACCCTAGTCACTATGTTTAGTTTAGTTTAGTTTAGTTAAGTTTAGTTTAGTTTAGTTTAGTTTAGTTTAGTTTAGTTTAGTTTAGTTTAGTTTAGTTTAGTTTAGTTTAGTTTAGTTTAGTTTATTTGGATTTATATACCACCCTTCTCCCGAAGGACTCAGGGCGGTGAACAGCCAAAATAAAACATATACAATATAAAATTTAAAGACAATTTAAAACATATTAAACAAATTTGGCCCATACTAATTAAAACACCCCATTTTTAAAAACAAATTAAAATTAAGCAATTAAAAAGAGTTAGGCCAGCTCAGCTTGTTGGAATAAAAAAGTCTTGAGGGCATGGCGGAAAGTGCGCAAATCCGGGATCCTCTGTATCTCCGTGGGGAGCTCGTTCCAAATGGCAGGTGCCCCCACAGAGAAGGCTCTCCCCCTGTGGGCTGCCAGTCAACACTGTTTGACCGACAGCACCCTGAGGAGCCCCTCTCTGTGGGAGCGTACTGGCCAGTGAGAGGCTACCAGTGACAGAAGGCGGTCTCGTAAGTACCCAGGTCCTAAGCTATGGAGTGCTCTAAAGGTGGTAACCAATACCTTGAAGCGCACCTGGAAGACCACTGGGAGCCAGTGCAGCTCGCGCAGGAGAGATGTTACATGGGAGCGCCATGTCGTTCCCATAACTACCCGCGCCGCCGCATTCTGGACCAGTTGGAGCCTCTGGGTGCTCCTCAAGGGGAGCCCCATGTAGAGAGCGTTACAGTAGTCCAGGCAGGAAGTGACAAGGGCATGAGTGACCGTGCATAAGGAGTTCCGATCCAGAAAGGGACGCAACTGGCGGATCAGGCGAGCCTGATAGAAAGTCCTCCTGGCTACAGCCGTCAGATGTTCTTCTAAAGACAGCCGTGTATCCAGGAGGACACCCAAGTTGCGAGCCCTCTCCGTGGGGGCCAACGACTCGCCCCCAATAGTCAGTGATGTACCAACTGGCTATATCGGGATGCTGGAAACCACAGCTACTCGGTCTTGGACGGGTTAAGCCTGAGTCTGTTTCTCCTCATCCAGATCCGCACAGCCTCCAGGCACCGGGACATCACTTCAAGGGCATCATTGGGGTGGCCTGGGGTGGAGATGTACAGCTGAGTGTCATCAGTGTACTGGTGGTACTTCACCCCGAAACCACGGATGATCTCACCCAGCGACTTCACATAAATGTTGAACAGAAGGGGCGAGAGGACCAACCCTTGTGGCACCCCGCACATAAGACGCCTCGGAGTTGACCTCTGCCCCCCTGCCAACACAGACTGCAACTGGTCGGAGAGAAAGGAGGAGAACCACCGCAACACGGTGCCCCCCCCCACTCCCAACTCTTCCAACCAGCACAGCATGATACTATGGTCAATGGTATCAAAAGCCGCTGAGAGGTCTAATAGGACCAGGACAGAGGAACAACCCCTGTCCCGAGCCCTCCAGAGATCATCAACCAATGCGACCAATACCGTTTCCGTACTATACCCAGGTCTGAAACCCGACTGGAACTGATCTAGATAAACTGTTTCATCCAGGTACTGGGGAAGCTGTCGCGCCACCACACTCTCAACAATCTTCACCACAAAGTGGAGGTTGGAGACTGGACGATAAATTATTAACGCTGCCAGGTCCAGCGAAGGTTTCTTAAGGAGAGGCCTCACTACCGCCTCTTTCAAGGTGGCGGGAAAGTCACCCTCACTCAATGAAGCATTAATAATCCCCTGGAGCCAGCCTCATGTAACCTCCCGAGAAGCCAGCACCAACCAGGAGGGACACGGGGCCAATAAACATGTGGCCATGCTAAGTCTACCCAGAATCCTGTCCATATCTTCGGGAGTCACAGGGTCAAACTCCTCCCATATAACATTCTCAAGACCTGCCTCCATCATCCCTCCCAAGTCTTCCCAAATTTGAGCGATTTTGTCATACAGATACTGCACAAAGTCCTCGGCCCTACCCCCCAAGAGGTCCTCCCATGCTCCCAGATGGAGCAGGGAGCGGGTCACCCTAAACAGAGCGGCCGGGCGGTTATCTGATGATGCAATAAGAGTGGAAAAATAGTTAAATTTTACCGCTTTTATCGCCACTAGGTAGGTCTTAATATGAGACCTCACCAGTGTTCGATCGGATTCGGAAAGGCTGGCCCTCCAACCGCTCTACAGGCGTCTTTTCCGGCGCTTCATCTCCCTCAGCTCCTCGGTAAACCAGGGAGCCAAGTGGGATCGGCGCCAGGTCAGAGGCCGCAAAGGCATGACCTGATCCAAAGCTCCAGCAGCCGCCCTATCCCAGGCCACCAGGTCTTCAGCCGAGTTGTGAGCCAGAGCCTCAGGGAATGGCCCAAGCTCCGTCTGGAACCTATCCGGATCCATCAGGCGCCTGAGGCGGAACCACCTCATCGCTTCCGCCTCCCTGCAGCTGGATGTAGCGGTTCGAAGGTCAAATGTATCAGAAATACTTATTATAAATAATATACTTGAAATCTCTATATTCTATTTTGCCTGAGTATATTGTACAGTACAACAAAGTGGACTTTGGCCATACCAGTAATACAGACCTCTTTGAGTAATAGGCTGTACATTAATTTTAAAATGTATTCTTTTTACATTCTGTTCAATGGAAAATTTGCTTGTATACTGTATATGACCTATTCCTTTCAGCATCCAGTCTGCGATTTACTTGTAGGTCATGTCACCTGTAGATTAAGCTGATTTAAATGGACCCCAAATATTTCAATTGCTCTTCCCAGTTTCTATTATTTCTTATTGATCTGTAGACAGTTTTTCTTTTCTTTTCTTTTTATTTTAAGACTCCCGGGAAGTGGAGTCTTTTAAGAGAGAAAGACGAATTAATACAGAACGCGTTCACAGGCATCTCCCGACAGCTTCACCATTGAAAAAGAATGTTCAGCTCCGCGCGAGAGCAAAAACAAACAAGCAAACAAACAAACAAAGCAGACTGGGACCAACGTTGCTATGGAGCTTTTTGCAAATAAGGTTTAATGAAATCTTAATACACACTCTGCATTCAAGTCAGGTTTTTTTTTTTTTTTTGCTTTGAAATGTAGGCGGGGCACCTCTCGCCAAATTGCAGAACAGAGAGAACAGAGTATACCGAAAGAAATCACACTGCTTAGAAAACCTTCCAGCGCTCCCAACCATTTAAATTTAACAGCCGCTGCTTGACTACAAGCTGCCAGGCTGTGCGCTCCGCAGACTTGCAACTTCTCTTCCAAACAAGCCGCAAACAAAAAAAAATTCAGCCATGCACCACCCAACCCGGAAGCTTCTGTTTGGTATAGATCTATTGACTCGTCCTGGGGTTGCATTTTTCTTGGAGCCCTTTAACGGGGCTTCCTGCAAGCAGGAAGGGAAGTGGAATTATTTGTAGGACGGACCAGAAGTTAGTCCTCCAAGGCGGAGGTTCCGTTCGGCCTCAGCGGCGATGATGAGTTTCGAGTGGCCCTGGCAGTACAGTTTCCCGCCATTCTTTACGTGAGTCCCGGGTCTTCCCCATCCTACGCGTCCCTGAGATTAAGGGGCTCCTTCTTTTCTTCGAGGCACGGTGTGGGTGCACGTGTTGGAGGTGCCCCGTCGGAGCCCTGGTTTCCGTAGAAAGTCCCCCTCTTGCCCTGTTTCGAGACGATCCACGACTGTTGCTTCTGTTCTTCTCTCGAAAAAAAGATTACCAGGTTTCGCTCCGGATGGTGGGGTGTGTGTGTGTGTGTGTGTGTGTGTGTGTGTGTGTGTGTGTGTGTGAACGTGATCCCCCCCCCCAACTACCAGGAGCGTTTGAATTACGAGATTTCTGGAGGAAACTTTGTATCCCTGCATTAATTGTAATACTAAACCAGCTCACCGAGGGAACTCCCTCCCGCTCCCGGGGCTGATCTATAACTCAAAAGTAGCATAACCAGCAGCATGACTAGTGATGAGAGGCATTGGGAGTTGTTCAACAGCCAAAAGGTATCAGGTTTCCCATCCATGTATTAATAAATGCATAAAGACAAACACTAATTTGATCAACACGATCCACTTTTTCTGTAATCTAGTTTGAAACAAAATTAGGATTATTGCATTCAAAATGGAATATATATGACCTGACCTGTCTATGGTTGTTAATAGTGTCTTCAGTGTAGCGCATTTCATACAAAATCCTTCCCGCCCCCCAAAAAAACACTTCTTTCCCCAAGGATCTGAACTTGAAATAGTCAAGTAGAAAAATAGTTGAATGAAAAGACAAAGGATTGTATAGGATATATTGGGGAAATGCAACTGTGGGTACTTAAAACATGGCTAGTGTTGGGAGTAAGAATACTAGATTATGTCAAAGATTGTGAAGAAATTTAGATTTCAAGGAAACATTTAAAGAAATAGAAAGATGTCACTAAGATTTTTAAGAGGATTTTAGGCATAGGAGATAGAATAGAATAGAATACTTTATTGGCCAAGTATGATTGGACACAGAAAGAAATTTGTCTTGGTGCATATGCTCTCAGTGTACATAAAAGAAAAGATACATTCATCAAGAATCATAAGGTACAACACTTAATGATAGTTATAGGGAAACAGTCAATATAAATCTTAAGGATACCAGCAACAAGGTTACAGTCATAAGTGGGAGGAGATGGGTGATAGTAATGCAGACTTAATAACTAGTTTGACAATGTTGAGAGAATTATTTGTTTAGCAGAGTGATGGCGTTCAAGAAAAAACTGTTTTTGTGTCTAGTTGTTCTCATGTGCAGTGCTTTATAGAGTTGTTTTGAGGGTAGGAGTTGAAATAGTTTATGTCCAGGATGCGAGGGGTCTGTAAATATTTTCACAGCCCTCTTTTTGACTCGTGCAGTATACAGGTCCTCAATGGAAGGCAGGTTGGTAGTAATTGTTTTTTCTGCAGTTCTAATTATCCTCTGAAGTCTGTGTCTGTCTTGTTGGGTTGAAGAACAAAACCAGACAGTTATAGAGGTGCAGATGACAGACTCAATAATTCCTCAGTAGAACTGTATCAGCAGCTCCTTGGGTAGTTTGAGCTTTCTGAATTGGCGCAGAAAGAACATTCTTTGTTGTGCTTCTTTGATGACGTTTTTGATGTTGGGTGTCCATTTTAGGTCGTGAGATACGGTAGAACCTAGAAATGGTAGAACCTAGAGATCACAAAAAATGGATGGAACTGTGATAGAGGGTAAGGGATTTGGAAGAGTATGGTTTGTATAGTGAGAAAAACTGCATAAAATAAGATAGGAGGAAAGCTATGGAATTTTAAATATGAAAGCAAATAATGGATTTGAATAAGAAGCCCATTTGGGGTTTTGAGGGACTGCCTCTGATCTCAATTGATGAAAGCTTGATAGCAAAACTTCGAATACAGCAGTGAAGATTGAGGTGCACTCAGAGAGGAGAGTTTCAGAATCAGTGTGGGAGAGGGAGGTGAATATAGCAAGAACCAAAGTTTTAGTTGAGAGGAAGGAGCATATATTTTATAAGGAGAAGAAATACCAGTAAAACAGATCTCTTTCCTGCTAGTACTTCCCTACTGTCTTGTCTCTTCCACATAGTAGATAGAATTTGAATGATACAATGATGCAGAAATACTACCTGGAAAGAGGGCAATAAACGAGGGAGAATATTAAATAATTGTTATAGGATATAGATTATAAGATAGCGTGATGCTTTAATCGTCTGCCAAATAGTAGAAGGGAAGAACATGAAATTGTGAGAAAGAATCAGCTACCAGGAAACATCATGGCATTAGAAAGATTAAGCTACCTGGGCATTGATTAAGTTAACTAGACATTTCATTGACCAAAGATAGACTGTCATAAAAGAAAAAGAAAAAAATCAGAAAAAAGGAGTGGTGAAGTAACAAAAAATAAAAGATTTGGAAATAAAATTGGGGCCTCGGAACTAAAAACAAAATGAAAAATAAAGGAAAGGGAACAGAAGAAAACAGGAAATCCAGAGAACTTCTCAGAGCAAAAGAGATAAGAAAAACATACGAAAATTATAAGTTCTTTGGATTCAGCGCCTACGTCAAATAGATTTTAAATTGGAGAAGTCTTTTGCCATCAGTCTTTGATAGCCACAAATAATCAGTTAGGGAAACAGTAAAAACCTGCCAAAAGGAAGTACATAAAATACTTCTTGCTCACAAATCCTTATCTGAACTGATAACACCAATGGTTGCTGATACAGTTTTACTTTTTCTTTTATTTGAAGGGCATTTTCTAGGTGGCTTTGGTGTACTATTTCCAGTCAGACTGTTAGATCCATGATAATATTTGGGTGATAATGGCTGCAAAAATGTCAGTATTTTAGGCAGATTAAACTGGCAACCATGCATATAAAAACTGGGTTGGTTAAATTATTTGACTCTGGACAATCTCACTAAAATTGTAAAGCAAATTATCTTATGGAAGTTTGGAAAAATCATAAAGAATGTATAATTTTGTTGGCAATTATGGAAACTTCAACTCGGGGTATTTAAAATAACAGGATTAATTTGGATGATTTCTTGTTGGATGATTTCTTGTATTTTATTCAGATCTTTAGTCAATTTTTGCTATCTTCAGTAAAGTACCAAGACTTGGGGTATGATTCTGGAAGTTCTACTTTTTGATTCTGATTTGGCAGTTAAAATTATTGAGCTTCTGAGATGACAGTTTCTTTTATAGTACATCTTGTTTCCTTTTTGTGTTTTAGGTTGCAGCCCAATGTGGATACAAGGCAAAAACAGCTGACAGCATGGTGTTCCTTAGTGCTCTCATATTGCCGCCTCAACAAGCTCTATACTATGACTGTTCCAGAGGCTCAAGAGAGTCCACTGTTCAACAATTGGAAATTGCAGCGTATCCTTCCTCTACTATTGTGAGTCTGTCTGACCAGCTTTGGTGATGTGACAAGGAATTCATCCAATTCCTGGTGATAAAAGAGTTGGCCTCTTTGTCAGTGAAAAGTTCAAGTTTGAAGCAATATGAGATTGTAGCATTAACTGAGTATGCTATTGATGTGGTTCTAGATGTAGGATTGTATGATTTGTGAAAAGTACATAGAATAGATTTGCCTTCTAAAATAATTCTGTTTTTTAGGTAAACCACTTTACCTTAAGTTAGGATAATACAAGTTTTTTTAGTTCTGCTGAGGAAAATAAATTCTTGATTTCTAAAAATGTTTTGATTTAAATCTCTATTTTAAATGCCATTTTCTGCTCTGAAATCACATAGAATGCCTTGATATTGATTTCTCTGAAGCTGTGTTAAAAATAAAATGCTCAAGTGATGCTTATTTTTGCCAAGATATTGATGGCTTGGAAAAGAAAACATTACACAATTACACAGAATTTGATGAAGAGTTTTGTATATCAATTTTTCTATAATTTAGTTTTAGTTTAACTGACACTGTAAAAAGTATAACAGCTTTACAATATTCACTAGAAAATAATTTTCCACTGCAGTGCTTTTAGATTTGGTTTTGTAAGATATTGATTATCAAATTTTCTGATGTTCCTGTAATTTTTAAAAAACTTTTTTTCTAATAGGAATTTTCCATAGAATTTTAGATAATAATTTTATTATCAAAATCTTATATCATGAAGTTTAGTTACAACTGCTGCCAGCTTCTTACTGTGCTTATACAGTCAAAATTCTGGGCTGCATAAATATTCTGTTCATTCCTCCTCATTCTATGGCCAAATAGTACTCATGGTTATTAGCTGCATGATACAGTTGATGGGAGGATTAAAGTATGTGCTGCATCAGAAGCATGGTGATTTTATTGTTTGAGGCTACATAATGCTACATTAACATATTGAATGTTGCAATCCCAAATCTTGAATTCCTTTTGAGTTAAGTAGTTTATCACATTTTATCCTGTGCTTAATATTTTCTTAACTATGGAACAGGAAAACTCTCACTGGAATCCATCCTTGTTGTGTTAGAGGAGCTCAGGAAAAAAGGTAGGTTTGAGAGTAAAATGCCTCTCTAATTGTAAATATACCGTAATTAACTGGAAATATACATATCTCCTTCATTTCATTAAGATTAACATCAAAGTAGATGTGACAAGACATGCATCCTTAAGACTTATCTAGAAGTAAGTCAGGCTGCTAGGATAGCTAGGGCTGAATCCATTATTTCTGTAAAAAAAAATATTATGTTTTTAACATAAATTAATAATAGAGATATTTTATGTTTCATTCCAGGGAATCTTGAATGGCTTGACAAGAACAAGTCTAGCTTTCTTATCCTGTGGCGATGTCCGGAGGAATGGGGCAAGCTAATTTACCAATGGGTAAGAGCAATACTTTTTGGGGTAGCAATGCAAAATTAATTAAAGTTTAAGCTTAATTAAGCCCACAGTTCTTTTCTATCATATCTCCACCATCACAACACAAACGTCTTCTGCCTTTTGTCATATTTTTAAAAGAAAATTTAGATGACCAGGGTGTGGAGTTCCTGGAACAATTTTGTATAGCTGTGAAAGTACAAACTATCTGTAATCATAACAAGCAAACTTTATATTATTTTTCATGAATAGTTTTTGTAAATGTTGAATATTATCTCATTTTTAATGTTAAACTTAGTTGTCAAGTTGTTAATCATTTCACAGGAAACTTCTCTATTTCATAATGCTAAAGTTTATCTTTTAAAACAGTACGTGGATAGGAATCCAAAAAGTAGATCAATAGCTTTTATCCACCTGAGTTTGTCTAGATGAGATTGATGTCTGAAATTCTTCTCCCAAAGCCATGTCTTCAGAAGTTAGACTGATGACAAAAAGGCTTTTTTATTGGTGTTCCCAAATCTACAATGGTTTTCTCAGGAGACTTCCTTGCACTTGACCTTTTCAGTTGCTTTAATTGTTTTTCAGCTATTTTGGCTAAATTTTATTAGCAAGATGTAATAATCTATTTCTTACAAATGTTTGTTACATATTTTCATATTTTATTTATATTTAATTGTTGTGAATATCCTTAGCAGGGAAAAAAAGTTTGGAATATAAAACTCAATGATATCAAAGATCAAGTATTGCATTTTTCCACCTGCCCCTCCCCGTTTCCAGGTTTTGAAGAATGGATTGACAAACTCGGTTTTCACACTCTATGAGTTATCCAATGGCGAGGATACAGAGGAAGAAGGTAACTTTCACCTGGTACATTTCCCATTATAGTGATATATGACAGTGTCGAAAGAGATAAATTGTTTGTGTTTCTTTGCCTCATTTTTAATCCAGAGAACCTTTCTTGCTGTCCACATTCTTTCCCTGCTGAATTTTTAAAAGTTATTTTAAGTTTCTTATATTAAATGGAAGAGAGATAAATAGTTTTCACAGCAACAGAGAAATATATATACTTATATATAAATATATACTTCATATTTTCTAAATTAATTGGATTTTAATTCTTACAAACTAGATTCATGCCCTCAATATTTCTGTGATTAATTTGTTTCCATTTATCAATGAAATGTCAGGGCGTAGGGGTCATTATTTTGACTGTGTTCCAGATCAGTGAGCATGCCTTTAATTTGGTTCCATTTGTGCTATGCTAAGTAATGAAAAAGACAATTTGAGAACTATCTGAAATGTCTAAACTTGTTTTGCAACAATCTACCTACTTATGTAATCCTAAAAAATTAGGATTACTTATGAAGCTGTGCAAAGGCTCTCCTGGCAACAGTGGCCTTCTGCCCATAGAGCAGAAAATGAGAGTCCAGGAGGACTCACTTCTTTGTCTCAATTGACTTATATGGCTGTCCATATGAAGTACAAAAGGGGTACTTCTGGGTAGCTCACAATTTATATTTGAATTAAATAAATAGAAAATATATGCAGATACAAAATAAAATAAAGAATAAAGCTCACAGCAGCTGGAAAATCATTTAAAAATCCCTCAACATAACCAGGAGATGGGTTCCGTCACACACTCAAAGCCTCAAGCTTGAGCACAGAATCAGATCTTTGAAGTCTTATAATAGGCTAGCAGGATTAGGGCCAGCCTAATCTCCAGGTGGTTGATTTTCCAGTGGACAAGGGTCACAACAGAAAAGGCTCTCCTATTGGCCCAACCAGCCAACTTTGTTCGGCCAATAGTACAGCATAGCCCTTCTGCCAGATAGATAGAAACTACTGGATAGAGATGATTCTATAAATAGCCCAGCCCTAAGCTATGCAGGGCTTCAAAGAAAGAACCAGCACCTTGAATTGAACCCAGACTGTAGCCAGTGCAAGTTGTGGAACATAGTGTCAGATGTGCTCAAATAATCAGTACCATTAATTGCCCATGCCCAGTGTGCAAAAATTCTAGCAGTAACTGTCATTTGTTTTTTAAGCAGGACCTGTTAGTTCAGGATGATTGAGCAGTGGCTCTATCTGAAGCTGTGCTACCCCATCCAGAACTAAAAATTGAGAGTCTTGGGACTAGAAAGTCCAAAACCCCAAATCCGTTTAATCTTGCTTGAGTTGAGCTTTCCCATCCAGGCCCCCATGGCCTCTAGACATTTAGATAAGAACTTCCATAGCTTCACTCAGGTGACCTGGAGTAGAAATATAAAGCTGAGCACTGATATCTCAAGCTAAAACTGTTTGCCTCATCCAGTGGCTTCATGCAGATGTTAAACAGGAGAGAGTGCCAAACCTGTAACACCTCACAAGGGGCTAGATTTTCATTCTCCATCAACACTGACTGCGGCAACCCCAAAAGAAGGGGGAGAACTAGTATATGCCACGCACCCCCAACTCCCAGGGCTGATCCAGAAGAATACATGATCAATGATATGGAATTCAGTGAAAGTCAAGAACAACATGGATGAATGAATATAAGTTTGAGTCTCCTATGTCTGTTTAAAAAAAAAAGAATACAAGTATGTTTTCATAGTCTTTTTTTATTTTTCTGTACATCACCCAAAATAACTTCTTATGAGATGGGTGGCCATATAAATTCAAACAAATAATTGGGCATAGTATCCCCATGCTGTTTCTGCCACAGGTCATCCAAAGGTATCTCTTTTCTATACTTTGTATAAAACATTCTTATGCCAAAGCAAGTAAATTTTCAATAGTGGTGAATATTTCATAATACGTGGTTGGAAAGTAAATTCTTTGGCCTAAATATTAAATAACTAAATTGGTTATGCTGTCCTAAGTTGGGGCGATGAGCTTTAGGTGTCTATAACATGCAAATTCAGAGCTCTAGCAAGATGCCTTTTCCTCATTCTCTGTATTGCTAGGTAAGTTGCCACCAATTCTGTCCTCAAGCAAATTTTTGTATTATCTTGTATTTAAATCATAGGTGACTTTCTCTCAACCAAGGATGTTTTTTATTCTCTTCTAGAATTCCATGGTTTGGAAGAATTAGTACTCCTCCGAGCTCTGCAGGCTTTACAACAGGAGCATAAGGCTGAAATATTCACTCTGAATGATGGGCGGGGCGTCAAATTCTTCTAATGCAGATTCTGCTTTGGCTTCCTAGTATGACTGTACAAAGGTGTTCTGGGTTAAGGAGTTTCTCTCTGTTCTGATTTCCTTGCGTTGAAGGCTGAAGCCGCAAATTGTATCTTGATGGCTCAGCGTTTGACTCCATTTTCTTCTCTCTGCAGCTTCTGCCTCTTATTGCGCTCTGACGATTTGATAGATTTATGGAGGAATCAGAATGTTCTTTGTGTTCATATGACACAAAGTAATTATTGGCTCTTGAGTTTCGCCTTCCAAATTGAAGCAGACAATAAACCCTACTGCTTGCAGCAATGATTTGGGGATAATTTGGGGGATCAAAAATGCAGTACTCTCTTCAGTTAGGCAGAAACCCACATAGACTGTGCTATTCACAGCAGAATGGGGTGTTAAAGGCTTTGGACAAATTATACTGTGTTTACAGAAAAGTCCTCTGTGTTGGCTTATTTCTATGTGTGCTTTTCTCACACCAAGGGGACCTCCAATTCTTCTCTTCCGCCCCCACCCCCATATTATTGTTAGCTTCATGTCAGGGCTAAGTGGAGGTTGGCTGCCTGCTCGTGGAGTTTAGCAATGTTGTTTTTCCAGAAGCAAAAAGTTGAGTGAACTATATTTCTTCATTTTTGATATTTATGAAAAAGAGAAGGCAATCCATTATTCAGAAGTAACTCTGTATTCAGTCTGGTTTCATCTTTCCACACTGAGCATCCTGTCTAGAAGATGGGCATTTCCCCTAGATTTTTTAGCATCAATGTCCTGCAAGTTCATTATGAAATGAAATCTTTCATTTGAATTGCATTTATAAAATTAAAAAAGCCAGGAAAATTATATTGAAAAACTATTTCTTCTGCTAAGTCAAATGGGGGGAAAATTGTGTTCTGCAGATATTTTTGTGCAACTCTTAGGATCACTTTCTTTGCAATGGCTGCAATTTTTAGGAATGTATTTGATGTGTTGCTTAGATCAGGGTATGATACAAAGGATCAATAGGATTGCGAAATTAACTTATTTTCATGAGTTGTTTTAGATATGCTCAAAACTGAATCAGTTATATTTTCTCTAGGCTACCTATGGATAACAGCATTAAGTAGCCATTAGGAAAATAATTAACTGACAGACTATAGTAAAGGTGGTATTTGATAAACCCTGGATTTGTCAAAAGATTATTATTTGAATTTCATGGATCTTTCCTTGGTTTAAAAGGTTGTCCAGTTGACAGAACATCTCACCAAATGGGGAATAATATTGATAATTAGTCCATTAGAGAATTAGTTAATCAAGCATGACTTTCCAGTAAGGAATTCAGAGCTCATGCAGATGGAAAGAGATGAATTCACAAAGCAAGGTCTTGGTCATTACCTTTAAAGCCCTACATGGCATGGGTCCAGGGTATCTGAGGAGCCGTCTTTCCCTGATGGGACAAGCCTGCTCCACTTGTGGGAGCGGAGGAGGCCTGCTACAGATCACATCTGCTAACATTGAAGCAGGCAGGATCAAGGAGAAGAGCTTTTCCTGTTGTGGTCCCATCCTTGTGGAACATTCTTCCATCAGAGGGGAGAACTTCCTCTTCCCTTTTGGCCTTCCGGAAGGATATGAAAACTTGGCTTTTGCCAGCTGGGCCTGGGGGAGGGGGCAGTCACTGTTGGAAGTGGCTGAGGAGTAAGAAGATCTCATTTCTGTCCCATTTGGCTCTTAATAATATTTTTATGCTGATTCATTTTAATCTTTTAATGATTTTTCACCTGTTGGATAATTTGTAAGCCGCCCAGAGTCACCTTGTAGGGGAGATGGACGGCATAGAAATTTTAATAAATAAATAATGGTAAATTACAGTGTATATTGTCACATAGATTGTGTTCAAATTACATTTTGGTCTTAGAAGAATGTAGATTGCTTAAATCTAAAAGCAACGCAAGTATGGAAAAGTTTACTTGATCAGATTTTCCATTGCAAGCTCAAAATTTAATTGTGATAGAGACATGGAATAGATTTCAATCGGCATGGGGTGACTATGTTCAGTTTGCCTCTTTTTCTTCAGCAACAGAAAGTTTCTCAGCCAACAGCCTTTTGAACCTTGGCCCTTAGCTGCCATATTGTCCTTAGATAACATCCATGAATGAGAAAGAGAATTATAAATATAGGTCTCTTATTTACCTTAGATGCTTGCCTTCTATTCATATCACAAAGGATTCACCCTTCTGGCAAATATTTAATTAGGTCTGTGACTATGGAGCTTTAGTCTGTCTATCCACAAAAGCTTTGAAAGAGGGCAAAAAGAGAAAATTGTAGCAAGAACATTGCTACTTAGAGAAGAGTAACTGGTTTTCATAGCTCAAGAGAGTTATCCTGGCTATTGGGTATATTGTTGTCCCAGCTCTGCCACATTATTTCAGACCTCTTCCTTCAAACATACATTTCAGTCAATACTATATGGTAGAGTTCCGACTCATCACATACAGATATTTTCTCTTATTTGTTGAGAACATAAATGAGAAGACGCTTTTAACAAGAGCTTTCCTAAATCTTTGCATGGCTATTGAAAATAAGAAATATGCAAGGACAGGCTGCTCTCTGGACCCACTGAATGTTGAGAAAAATACCCATAGATTATTACAGTGTTTCCCAAACTTGGCTATTTTAAGATGCATGGACTTCAATTCCTAGAATTCCCCAACCAGTATGCCTGGTTGAGGAATTCTGGGAGTTGAAGTCCATACATCTTCAAAGGGTCAAGTTTGGGAAACATTGGATTATTAGAACTAGAATAATCTAATAATTCTTTACTTTCAAAACAAGTTTCTAGGGTATTTTTTTTTTTTACTTTAAACTAGAATATGATGTTAGAGCACGTAGCCTATTTTTCATGAAAAACTGTAGTACTATATTATGACAATATTAATAATAATTTGAATACTGACATCCTTAGATCTTAAAAATAAAGCTTTCCTAATTTCAGCCATTTTGATGTTTTTGAGAGGAGTTTTTAAAAAGGGAAATTAATCTTGCATCTTTTATTTATTAATTACCTTGTGAATTTGAAAAATGTGTTTTAATCAGATAAACAGACTTCTAGCGGCAAGGATTCGCCAAAGAAGGGTCAGACACATGAAAGTTTGCTGCAGCATTGAATTCCAAGGACTGCCCCTTTTAGTGAATGTGTTGCAACAACACACACAACTGAAAGGGGCAGGGCATGCCTAAAGCAGCAGCAGGATTCAAAAGTATCCTTCTAAAAGCATCATAAATCCCATGCAGAGATGAAAGAACTTCAGGTACCTGATATATCACTCTACTTTGAAAACTCTTGCTTATTAAAAAAAGGGGGGGGGAAATAAAACACGCATATATAGCAGATAACTTTTTATTTGTTTTTTATAAATCTCTAGAAACTACAAAAATACCTCAGGGAATATATAAGATGATGATAGTAGTTCTAATAAAATTAATAAATGAAGTATTATGGTATTATATTAATCCTTTGGATGATTACTCTGGCCTGTAGGAGGACTGTGACTTTCTGTAAAAATGTGTTCAAATCAGTTTTGCATCCTTTCAAGAAATGTATTTGCATGGAACACAGAGACAAATCCTCATGCAATTCTTTCTAGCATTGTGATGTTCTAAGCTTTTGAATGAATTTATGCATCTTACCCATTTATCCATTCGCTTATTTACTGAACACACCAAGTATAATTTAACCAGGACAGGCATACTTGGGTTGCAAAATTGTATTACTGTACCATTAAATGGAAATAAACACTGAGTAGTTTTTAGATCTCTGCTTCCATCTAGTGGTTGTCTGGATTTTGCAGTTCAGATATGGTAGTCCTATGTTTAATATTTACTACTATTGTACTACAGCATTCTTTACTGAACATGCTTGAAATGACTAGCAAACAGAGATGACTGTTTATCAATTTCCTTTCTTTTAGTCAATATTCCATTAATTTTACTGCTGGGTGAATCTTTCTATTCCTCCCTGCTCTCAAAAACAATTTGAAAAACTTGTGGATTGATATGAAGACCATAAAACTGACATAAGGGGAGATATTCCTTTGATTTCAAAGAAGAACTTCATAGGATGAGAACAAAATGGAGCCAGCAAAACTACTAATTACAGCATTACAAATTAGTGAATGCTCTTATACCTCCTTCATTTTCGAGGGAGGACTAGAAACATTTAACCATGACTTTTAAGTCATGCGTAATGTAAGCCATAGAACAGTTTTTTTGTTAAGAAACTTAATTCCAGAGATCTATGTTTGGACAAAATGGATAGTCTTGGTTTAGCAATCATAATTGGGCCTAGCATTAGTCATCAAGCAAAGCAGTCACTAAGTGAAACTGCAACTGTGCTTATGATTTTAAGCTTTCCTTTCCTTTCCAGACCTGGGAAGATTGTAAATATGAGGATTGCTCAAAAAGTTACTTTTTCATACTGATGTAATTGAATGTAGTTAAACAAGGACTATCTATTAAATTGTGATGTGACTTAGTGCAGAGGTTCTCAAATTATATGTTGGAATCTTCTGGGAGAATCATGTGCAACTCAGAAGAGAGTTCCAACTTTTTAAAAATGTTGGCTCAGACATGGTTATCAAGCCCAGATTTCAAAGTATTACCAACTACATTGAAATAATTCGTAATCATGGGATGTTGCCCAAATTAATTTTTCATAGCAAGGGATCATAGTATTGCAAAACTGGAGAATGCTGAGACTGTTCTTTAGACAAGGTCATTAATAGCTTTTACTACTATTAACCTCAATTATAATTTACCAAACAAATTATCTGGCAATTTTACTAAATCGCTGTGAAATCCTCAGCATTCCACTGGCATTTAGATTTCAAATATAATAAAACCAGATAAAATACATTTATTTAAACTCGAGCCATCTGAATGTTTTCATTTGGCATCAAATACTGTAAATATAATGATTTTTCAGGTTTGAAGAAGACACGCTGTTGTATAATTCATTTTGGGCATGGAGGAGCCTCTGTAGTTCTAGTTTGGAAGTACAGAATAGTTCGGGGGTGGGGGCACTAAAGTCCATTGTTGCAGTAACTGGATGTTTTTCTGTGATGCTATTCATGGTTTGTATCAGTTTTTGGCAGCACCTGTCTTCAAAGTCAGTGGAGATCACAGGTTTTGCCAGCAATTGCAGTTTCTAGTTCTCTTAGCTGAATGTCACAGTAAAATACAATTTCTTTCATAATACATTTGTAGCACTGGCATGGTCTGTCTAAGCAGCTCTTTCCAGAGTTCAATACACTATACAGCAGCTGGCAAGGTATACAATGATCATCCATTCTAATTATGTTTCCCAGCCACCTCACTCAGATAATTGGGGACACAATGCTGATGGACCAGGTACGATTCAAGGCCTTCAGATTGGAGACATGAAAACAAATGCCAAGGATGGAGCAGAAAGCACTCTTTCTATTTCAGAGAGAAATTTCTAGTTGTTTGATGTGCCTTGTTTACAGAGTTCAGGATTCACATCCATGTAGGAGAGAAGGGATAATCACAGTTCTGTAGACATTCAGCTTTGTAAAGATACAGATGGGTTGTTTGAGCACTCATATACATATCCATGCTGGCTGCCCTTGCTGATCCTGGAGTCAATTTATTTGTCCAAAGACCAATCACTCAAGATAATGCTTTCCAAATATTTGAAACATTTGTCATCTGAATGTCATCAACAGTGATTGGTCTGGGAGGTTCCTTTCTGAAAAAGTGACAAGTCTGTACATGCCTAAGATGGACCTCAGTAAGATACATCTGTTGTTTCTGTAGTCTGATTTGCTTCTTATTTTTGATAGCCACAGTGAGGGGCTTAGAATGCCATCTTACCCTGTTGCTTATTTAAATCCATCTATGCTTTCTTGATTTCAGTAGAGGAAGGCATATCTAGAGCATCCAAAACTAGCAGCTGAAGAATCTGCCATAAGACAGCTTGATCAACTCTGGATGGTCTATTGAGTAGGTCTAAAAATATTTAACCCATTGGTTTTTCACTTTTTCCTGGGCCTAAATGCTTTCATCTGGCTTCAAATGTAATCAATAAAATAGTTGCACAACATTATAGCAGTTCAGCCAATAGCTTAAGATTCACAACTGAGAAACAGCAGACAAATGTATATCTGTTGCATAAACAGTCAAAAATATCATAGTTCTTCAACTATGCCAGTACCACCCTTTGCAGCTTTAGTTGTGGGTAAAAAGTGGTGGAATAGGCCAACCAATCTATTGGTCCTGAGGAGATGGCAACAACAGGTGACAGAAATTAATTTTGAAGAACATAATTTGTGGATAGGAGGGGCCAAAGTTTGCTAAAATAATTTAGAGAATGAACCTGCAGAAAAAAGTTTTTGACAGCTTGCAATGCTGCAGTCATCTCGTTATCCCATATCTCAATTAATCCAGCTTTCACTAGCAATGTGATTTGGATAATAAATGAGTCTAATAATGGACAATTCATGGAGCAGGAGAAAAACCTTCCAAAGTAGGCTTTTGGTATCAATATTGGAAAGCCAATTATAGAACAAATGTATAAGATTCCAATCAAATTCTGGTTTCTGCATTTTACATCAATGAAATATTTCAAATATCTTTTAAATACATCCCAATAGAGAATGAACTAGATCTGATTTAAATGTGTCTGGTACTGAGCAGAATGTTTTTCCCAAGTAAAGATTTAATGGTATGCCAAAAGACGCTGTACACATATGCTCCTTACCATTACTTTTATTGATGTCATCTGGGGTGGTTCCAAAATGTGTGACTTCAGGCCCAAGGAAATAAAAAAAATTTCAAAATAGGGAGGAGGCAGGCAGTCAGCTTGTCTGATCATTACACTTAATGGCATTTTCAAGGCGGCATCATATGGAAGGGGTGTTAATTTGTAGGTAGCCCCTGAATTGTTTTAAATTTCCCCAAGGGCTGAGATAGGATAAGTTGGAACTTTGAGTTAATGATGCTGACTGCATTGAAGGAGATAGGTTGTGGTGCCAGACTTTTGTTTTTATTTGTAATGTTTTTTGTTATTTATTGCTTGTATGATGTTTGGTTTTATACAACCGTTATGAGCCACTCCAATTGTATTTCTTAAAAATGGGCAGCCATATAAGGCTTTTATACAGATAAATAAAATTCCTCTGAATTTGGCCTGAGATAGAATACTAGTTTCCCAATCTTGTTCCTAACAGCATTCCAGAACTGAGATGAAAGACTTTACTATTGCCAACTGAATTCTTTTCAATTACCATGACATGGGAATCTGTGGATGGATGGATGAATTAGCATACAAAAAATATTAAATAGGAGTTTCCTGGAAGCAAACTACTGGAGGCAAACTTCCTGAAGAAGACTTGCCAGAAAGTACTGGAACTAAACTGTTATGGATACAGCATCAAATATGTTGGTGCTCCACCAACATCAGAATACATCTAGTATAGAACTGAAGAAGGCATTTCATTGCAAATGATGTAAGCCTAGGACAGTGATGGCTAACCTTTTTGCCATCACGTGCCAGGAGGTGGGGGTGGGGGAGGTTCATGCGTGCGTGTGCCGACACCCATAATTCTATGCGCCATGCCCCATGCATGCGCGCATGCCCCCACTCCCCCCCACTCCTGGCACGTGATGGCTCAGTAGGCCCTCTCTCTCACCTGTACGCCTCTCTCTAGGAGTCTCTGGAGGCTGGAAACAAAAAAAAACATCACTTCCTGTCCAACCGGAAGTTGGGAACCGGGCCATTTTGGGCCTCCGGAGGGTCTCTGAGGGGGTGGGGAAGACTGTTTTCGTCCTCCCCAGATGCATAGAGAGGATCTGGAGCCAGGTGAGAAAGAAAAACGGGCTTTCCCGACCCCACTCCAGAGGCAGGAAACAGCCTGTTTCCCTACTTCTGGTGGGCTCAGAAGGCCCAAAAATCAACTGGCCGGTATCCACATGTGCGCTAGAGCTGAGCTGGCGTGCCCACTGATATGGCTATGCATGCCACCTGTGGCATGCATGCCATAGGTTTGCCATCACGGGCCTAGAAAAAATTAGAATGGAACAAACACATATTATATTGAGACAATCTCATTAGTTACAGAATGGTTGTGCTGCATTCTGGTTTATTGAAGAATCAAACTATATGATATGTAGCAAATTAAATACACTTAATACACAATTTAGAACATTTTGCAAAAATTGATTGAAAGCATCAATTTTTCATAAACTATTCAAAAGTATCAAGTTCAAGCACAATGGCTGAGATTTAGGATGGAATACCTTAGGTCTCAAATCAGTGGTGGGTTTCTACCAGTTCGCCTCAGTTCAGGCAAACCAGTAGTGGTGGCGGCGGGAATCTCTGCCCACTTGCCTGGACATCATCACGGATGCTCTGCACATGCACAGAAGCACTGCATGCAAGCGAAGCGAGTGCGCATGTGTGCTCCCAATTCCGAACCGGTAGCGAAGGTAAGTGGAACCTACTACTGCCGTGATGGCGAACCTATGGCACGCGTGCCATAGGTGGCACATGGAGCCATATCTGTGGGCACGCAAGCATTGCCCTAGCTTAGCTGCAGCGCGCATGCGCATGCCAGCCAGCTAATTTTCGGGCCTTCTGGGCCCACTGGAAGTCGGGAAATGGGCCGTTTCTGGCCTCCAGAGGGCCTCTGGGGGAGTGGAGAAGGCTGTTTTTGCCTTCCCCAGGCTCCAAGAAAGCCTCTGGAGCCTGGGGAGGGCGAAAAACGGGCCTACCAGGCCCACTGGTAATCTTTTT